ACAGGGCAGGAGGGGGCGCTGGGCTGCAGGGAACGGGGCAGGAGGGGGCGCTGGGCTGCAGGGAGCAGGGCAGAAGAGGGTGTTCTTCCCCATGTTACAAAGCCGGACACGGACACCACAAGTTGTTTGGGTAACAAGTCATTTAATAAGGCACCAAGAGGCGGGCGCGAGTGCGCAGCAGCTTCCCGTCAAGACACGGCCCCGGATTCTCGCTCCCGCCCAGTAAAACCCAAATCACTTTCCCCACATCCGATTCAGCAGGGGAAAAAAAAAGAGAGAAAAGATTGGAGGGAAGCAGGTGGCAGGGATGCAGCCAGAGGGGTGAGGACCCACTCGCCTCCTGCTGGAGAAAAAGAGTCTTACACTATTTACACCATTCCCTAAAAAAGAGCTACAAAGTCTAGAGGAACATGGCTGATCTAGAATCCACCCCCCGAGGTTCCTGGGATGGGAGATGGGGGGCTGTGGGGACCCTGGGGGTTGTTGCGGAGCAGCACTCCGGATGCTGGAGGGGGTTGTGTGGTTTTGGAGTCATGGTGGTTCTAAACTCCTGTCCTGGTTCTGGAGTCACTGTGGGTCTAGACTTGACACGTGTTGGTTCTGGAATCACCCTGGTTCAGTATCATGTTGGCTTTGGCAAAGGGAGCAAGGTTCTAGACTTACTGTACTTGTTCTAGAGTCAAAGAGCTGCTGTGGCTCTGGACCATCCCCCCTGCAACCTGAGGTTCCTGAAGGGGACATAAGGTTTGGACACCCCTGCTCTAGACCCTCCATGGGTGAAGGCCTCCAAAGTGGGTGACTGGGCTCTAGAGCCAGAGGGGTTAGTCTAGATCAGCGGTTCTCAAACTGTGGGTTGGGCTCAGGCTTTAGCTCCTCCACCCGGGACAGTGGGAATCAGGTGGACTCAGGCTTCAGTTCCCCCCTCTTAGGGTCGTGTAGTAATTTTTATTGTCAGAAGGGGGTCACAGTGCAATGAAGTTTGAGAAGCCCTGGTCTAGATCACGTACACATAGGTTGACAGAAGATCACCGTGATGGAGTCCTAGTTTCACCAGGATATTCTAGAGCGCCTACAGACTGAAGGGCTACACTGGAGGTTCTAGATCAACACGCAGAGGCTCTCAACAGGGGTGGCCTGATTCTAAAGCATTCGTGGTTGTTCTAGAACCCTCCCACCTTGAAGGGCCAATGTTTTGGATTCCACAAGGTTCTAGATCCCTGACCTGCAGCCCAAGATACCTGAAAGGAGCTGACAGGAATCGAGCCACCAGAACTTTCTTAGCTATTCTAGACCTATAAAGATATTACAGGACTTTCTGGCATCACATGTTGAGATACCTAGAACACCAGCAGCTCCAGATTGTCCACTGAGAGACTGTAGCTGTTCTAGACCTCAGATGGCTGGGACATGGTGGGTTCTAGAACACATTGAGAACATCCCACTTCTAGAGCCAGCCTGGTTGGGAGTGTTTGCGGTCCAGAGCCTCTGGAGCCAAGATGGGGTGCTGGCTCGAGAATCCTTGCTTGGGCTAGACAAGGCTGATCTAGAACCATTCCTTCCCCTTGCATTGGGTTGTTTCGTGCATTGAGGCCTTTCAGACTTGGGGGGAGATTTGCCTGTAAATAAAAAGGTACCCACAATGCCTTGCCTTAAAATTAAAAATGGGGGGAGAGGTGTGCAAATCACCCCCCTCCTGGGAAATTTACCCACAATCCTTTGCCATAAAGTTAAGGGGGGGTGTTTCCAGTTAAAATTCCCTGTCCTGCCACAAGCCTGTCAGTGTCTGCCCCCTGCCAGGTCCGCCTGCCCCACCCACACCCCCAGGCGTTCAGGTGGAGTGCATGGGGTGGCCCATGAGGGGGGGTCCTGGGGGAGTGGGGTCAAAGGGCTCCCCCCCGTGGTGGAACTGGGGCACGTAGAGGGTGGCGAAGGCGGCGGCGTTGTAACCCTGGGGGGGCGGGGGATGGTGCCCCATGGGAGGCCCTGGCAGCTGGGCGGGGGGAGCGAAGGGCAGGGCCCCCCCCTCGCAGTCGTCACGGACGGAGCAGCCCCCGCTGCGCTTCCCCTTCTGCCGGCGGTTGCAGAACCAGACACGGACCACCTGGGCGGGGGGACAGACGGACGGATGTCAGCACCATGGGACGGACTGTCCCCACGCCCCTTCCCCACAGACCGCCTGTGCCCCTGCCCCCCACAGCTCCCCCATGGACCGCACCCTCCCCAAA